CCCCAAAACCCCAAAACCCCAAAACCCCAAAACCCCAAAACCCCAAAACCCCTTCCTGGGTCAAAATATTGAGGGTTTACTACTTGCTAGCCGTTACTGTAATTCATGCAGATATCCCTAAGGTCCAAGTTCAGTGTCTTCTTTTTATGAGATTTGTTAGGCCGCTTGTGGAAAGTACGAGAGATAGCAGCTTTCGTTTCTATGTTGGGTTGAAATATATCGTACTTATCCGACAATGACTGTCTATTCTGAGTGAATCAAAACTTTGGTCAGCCAAGATCTTCTTTTTCATCTTGGATGCATCAGAAAAGTTCTGAGGGAGAGAAAATTTCTTTTTGTTAAAACCTTGAGCATCTGTAACGAAGCATGCTGTTCTAAACCATCAAAATATAGAGAATACTGGTGTCACTTTTGACTCAGAGCGAAGCTCTTTATTTTTGAACTTCACCTTGATATTCTGAAGATTGATTTTCTTAGGACTCTACAGGTGTAACTCATAAACTTACTTTTGATAAAATCTCTTTGTCAAAATTGAATTTAAAAATTCTCGCTTTCTCCAAACTATATTAAAACATTAGTAAAACATCCTAGACACAAAGAAGAGAGCTGAGAAATTATTGGAAGCTCTTAAAGAAGTTGCCTGATGCTAGCTTATTGTTTTTAAAGACATAGAACAGAATTTTAGTGATGTTCGACTGGCATTGCCATATGCACTTAATTTTGGAATTATTAATATCCCAAAAGTTATAGCACGAGAACTATTCATACCGGTGGTCAATCTCATTTTGATAGCTTGACACATTCATTGGAGTCCCCAGAGCACTGATTCATTTACTTTGTGGAGTAATGCAAAGACCTGCTTTTGTGTGCAAATCTCTGATTTTTGTAGGGGAGATCTTCATCTGCTTCCAAGAACGTTCCTATAACAATTATTCGCAAATATACCGTCTGGAATGGATCAAAGAGGGTTGATATCTTGAATTTCTCCTTAGAATCCCTCATCCTTAAGCTCTCGGCAGGCACTGAAGAGTCACGAAGAAACCGCAAAGTTTTGGAGAACCTATCTCCTTGGACCTTTGATTTGCTGAATTTTGGGAATTTTGAAAAGCATTTCCCATGCATTAAAATATGTTTCTTTATGTCAGAGGAAATACTCTTTTTCTGAGTAAAAGGATAAGAAGAGAAGTTATTAAAGGATTCACTCGGATAAAAATATGCAAATTGAATTGATAAATTAACGATTAAAGCACTTAAATATAACTTTTAATAAATCTCTTTTAACAGGGTAGGTTCAAACTTTACCTTAATAATCTCATACAAATAAGCACCCTCTCCAGGCTCATAATCCTGCTTAAAGATACTGTTTGAGTAATCACTAAAAGAGGTATTTGCAACTGGTTTCATGACTGATAGGAAATAATTATATTTTTCAACACTAAAATTCCAGATTGGGGTTTTGGGGTTTTGGGGTTTTGGGG